TTTTTTTTGCAACATAATATTAATAATAATTATAATAATGATTTAATAAAATAATATTTATATGCTAAAAATTTTTACCTATTTCCTATTAAATCGACAACATCTATGGAAAAAAATAAACTTTTCCATGATTTAATTTACACCAATTACATTTTAAAATTTATGATTTATGAAGCAATTAATTTCCTTTGACTTTAATTTATTTATTTATTATAATAATTAAATCAAGTATTATTTAAATATTTAATCAGCACTTTAATAATATTGTTTTTTTTTGCATTTTTCAAATAACATCTTTCTGTTTGTCTTTTTTTGAAAAAAAGAAATTATTCAACTCTTATCATCTACTCTAATACAAATTATATATAATATGAAGGTTTCAATAGTGTTTATAGTTGGAAGTATAATATTCACATTTATATCTTGCGGATTTATGTCTTATCTATGTGTAACCAATTTTACAAAATTACGTTTAGCATGGTAAGTAATCAATCATTTTTTGATTTTTCCCATTCATTTAAAAAAAGCGATTATTTTCCTCACTCAAAAAAATAAAATTTTTTTTTACAGTTTGATATCAACAATATTTATATTGATAAATGGCATATATAATTATTTGAGAACGTTTGATACTGTAATCGTTGCTAATTATTGGCTGGTATTTGCAATAGTAAGAGAGATTTATACAACGGTATTGGTTGTTTGTATGTTGGAGATGGGACGTATATTTTATAACACAAAGTGGAACACTTTACTATTCAAAATAACAATAATTAGTTTAGTAATTTATGATGGTGTAAATATAGCAGATTCAATTTATACATATTCAGATAACATTGAAAACCCTCCTTATTTTCCATTATTCTTGACCCAGGTAAATGATTGGTTGGTCGATTGTGATTAATTGATTGGTTGGTTGATTATTTAATTTCATATTTTTTTATACACATAGATAATATTAGGAGTATCAACTTTGGCCTTATCATTCTTGTATGCATTCCTTCCAGCACTAACACTCCACACATCTAAACATAATTCATCAACGAAACAACACATAAATGCACAATCAGCATCTGCGGGTACCTGGTTCGTGACAATAGTTGGAATTCTTTTAATATTGTATTTAATATCGTATGTAGTGGTTTTTTTTCTGTCTGGAGACGATTTCAGAGATTTCAATCATTCGCCAGTGGAGAATGCATTAGATCTCATTGTACGTAATTTGCTAACACTGGCAATCAGCTTCCCACCACCAAGCAAAGCTATCAATCTAATAAAAAAGAGAATTATAAATAGAAGAATGTCGAGTTTTATTATCACTGATTCCACCACTATAGTTGCACCTAGAAATGATTATTCCTCAACTGAAAGGACCTTAAGCATCAAGGATAGCAATAATAAGTGTGATGTTACTGTTAACGTTATTATTAATGATAATAATGAAACAAATGAAAAATTTGAATTTTGAATTTTGAATTTTAAAATTTACAAAAATATTAATAAATTTTCTAAAAAAAAAAAAAAAAAAAAAGGAATGAATATATTCTAAAAAATTTTCAAATAAAAATCTAAAAAGAAAACTCAAAGTTTTATTATATTAAAAAAAAAAAAAAAAACAATTATTCTGATCTCGTCAACATTCCGATTTTAGAATGTTTCTTGATAGTATTTCTGGTGAATAATCGACTCATTGACAATGTCAAACTTTTATAATTATTGCCGAAATCTAATTTGATAATCATGTTTGAGAAATTATTTTCCAGGTATTTCTTAATATCCTCGAAAAAGTGATTTATTATACAGTATCCATTCAGACTGTAATCATTTAATCTATGAGAATAATAATAATTATTACTAAAACTGTTAATAACCCTAGATCCAATAATACTTCCTTTAAGACTATTAAAACTATTGTTATTATCATTATCATTATTATTATCATTATTGATATTATTAACACTACTAGTGCTATTATTATTACTAAGATTGTTATTATTTATAGCATTATTTATTATTTATTACATTAAATAAATTATGGTTTGAACGAATTATATGGATATGTATAT